AGTGGTAACGTTTCTGAAAGCACACAACTGGGTGACGAGGGTTCAAATTTCAGAAAGAACATGAGTTCCTCTAAAAGTGTAGATATGCCTTAAAATGACGAGTGTGAAAAAGCGCGAAACCTAAGTGACCAGTGATGGCTCCCTGTTGATTGTCTAAAATCGCCGAACAACTATTAGGAAGGCATCATGATTGTGACCCACCTAGCCTGGTGCCATATTAATACAAACTTGACTGATAGAATTCAAGCACTGGTTTTGTAGGGATTTCGTTTGATTGGATGTAGACTTGGAATTCTCTTAACCGGAAGGTCTTGGGTTCGAACCCTTTCAGTGGGTGCATACTGATAAAGAGTCCCAAACACTAGGACGAAACAGTTGTCCAATTTTCCTAGCTGATTTCCCAATGGTTCTCAAGGCGAGTTCGTATACCAGTACTTCAAAATTAATCTGATGCTTACTAGCGACTGGCCCTATTCATTCAGGCAGTTAACCTGGGATTCTAGTGGGAAGCCGTGACCAGTAGGATGCAACAGGTTTAAGGTGGGACAGTGACTCATCGAAGAAGATATTGCGAAGTGGTCACGCCATGTCATGAATTGGCAGAAGTTGGAATTCGTGGGCTGGCCAATGGGTCGGATCCCAGTAGCTTAATGACCTACGAGCTTGGTGGCCTCGTAACCTGAAGGTCCTGCGTTCTAGCCCTGTCAGTGGGGGCGTACTGGTGTGACTAAACAGCTGTCCAATACTCCCAATTGGTTTTCCGATGGTTCTCTAACCGATATCAGCTCATGATAGAATTCAGTCTGCACCAAACGAAAGACTAAGTGTATGACACTAGTTCAATCAAAATAAGCAATTTATGCACAAAGCCTACTACTATTAGTTATAGTAAGGATGACTATATGTCCTATCAAAAAATAACATTCCAAATTGATGGATTCTGATATTCATGATTGACACGAGAATTTACAAATTAGCTTACGTCAACCAACTTTCAGAGTCTAGGAATAATAATATTACACTTTGACATACGCCTTGAATCACGAGGCAATATAAATTCCAAGGTGAGCACACACACACACATGAACCCAAAACTTATGCTTAACTAATTAATCAAAGCACAAAGTTGGAATCCAATAAATTATATTCTCTTGATATTCATCACTACAGGGTCCACTCTATTCTCTTTCATTCACTAACATATTAAAACACGTGAAAAAAAATGGTTACATGACTTGTTCAACCTGCCACACTTCAACTGCATGCTACTCAGATTTCAGCTACAAAAGGTGTCTACAACCCCTCCATATACCACACCATATTTCATGTTTACTTGCAATCTGAGATGTGAACAGTCTTCAATATATATATATATATATATATATATATATATATATATATATATGCTACGGGACTGTGGCAATTTACAGGGGTGTTAAAACCAAAAAAGGCACATTTTGATTGATTGCATGCAACCTTATGAACCCCCTCACCCCCCACCCACCTTTCGAAAATATAGTACACCTCACTATAAACAAGAGCAACACTTTCGATGAATATAGCAATAGCAGATCACTGGGGAAAGCCTTCTTTATGGTTAAGCTACGTATCAATTTCTACAGCCGACAAATGATCAACGGATGTGTGTGAAGGATAAACTGCCGCTTTCGACTGACCACCTCAATGTGTGTTTATAAATTCACCTGCTCATGTGGAGCTAGTTATATTGGCCTCACAAACCGACCGCACACTTTCCAAACGCATCTCTGAACATTATCCCACATGGTTAGCAAAGGGACAATGCAAGAGAATTACTAGCTCAATTTTTGAGCATTTGGTGAACTCAGGCCACCTAGACCCACAAGAGTCATCTTTCAAGATCATTTACAAAGTGAAGCCAAATGGTGAAAAGGGCGTCAGCTTTTGGCTTTTGTGTATGGCGGAGGAGCTGGTAATTCACCAATATAACCCTGAACTCTGTATACAGAAAAAGTTTGTCCAGTCTCTTATTCTACCTTGGTCTTAACGTCTTTAATAATCATTCCCTGTAAAAACAAAATTCTAATTTTTTCTTTTATTTTTTATTTTTAATTTTACTTTTAGTTTGCTTTTGCTTTAATAATCAATTCACTATTATCACTCTCATATGCTCCTACTGTACATTTCACACCCTCTTCACACTTGTTAAATTGACACTCAACTATCACCTTTATTCTCACTCAACAGCAGTTTTAACCTTATCAAATTTCTATCTTTGTGCCGTTGAGTACCACGTAATTTACAACTTTTAATTTTCACTTCCAAAGCCACTTTTGAGTATTTATATCAGTCAATTATGTCACCCCCTATTACTCAATAATAGACCACTATATATTTTTGTGGTAAGTATACATACGACTGTACAGCCTCTGAAGATGATTTCGTCGATAAAGAAAATTTTCTTCGCTGAATCTGTCTTTTATTTTCTGCATAAATATTCATTCAGACATCTATAAAACACAAAATAATTGAGCAAAGAATATCCTTTTCGATAAATTCCTCTTCTGGCCACAATTATATGTATACATATGTTTATATACATAAAATATTCTAGATTAGTAGTCAATAACAATATTAGTGTTCTTTAAATAATATCGATTTGTAATGTAAGATCAACGGAATTACCACAGTTCACTAAAGATGCCTAAATTATAATATCAATAAAAATATAATAGCAAATAGAATATCAACTAAAATTAGGGAAATTTCTACAAAAAGCATTGAGGCTAATTCAAACCTTGATGGCCAAGGTAAGGACAGTGTCTGAATTAGCATCTTTTGGACACATTAATTAGGCTTGTTAATATGGATCCCCACAGCCTTGATAAAGTTGAACCACTGATTTAATCAATTTTAAATTCATGATCTACTCACATATTGACCTATTTGACCTTAAAATGTAATAGTAGGTCACTTCAAGGTAAGTTGCTTAGGTTACAGTGTGCATGGATGACCTATGTAACTGATGTAGTGTATAACAATTGAATGGAAAACACACATACGAATAGGCTGATATCATTATATCAGGGTAAATGAACTAGTGCAAAGAATTCTCGAGGTCTTCATTCACACATACTGTGGTGAGAGCTGGGTGTTAGTCACAACTGGTGGAGAGTAATCTACGTCAATGTTTATGTCCCCTGTCTGTCTGGATTCAACAGAGAACTTGGCACCGAAGTGCACCATTTCGAGTTGCCACGTTCCAAATAGCACACAAAGGTAGACAAGAAGATGAGTGAAGAGAATCAATAGAGTTTGACAAGTATAAGAGTGAAACAGAATGGGTAATGGTAGAAAGGAATATGAAAGATTACAGAGACTGAATACATGTCTTATGTCCCCAATATTGGTCGTGAGGATAAAGAGGACAAAGGCTATGCGTAGGCGGATACAGTTAACATATAGATGATCTGATATTCAAGAAACAACCACAAAGACATGAAAGATTAACTTTCAGTGAGAAACAACCACCAATCAGAAGACTGTGTTTTCTACTAACAATAATCTATAATATGTACATGAAAATCTATAAATATGTGTTGATTTTGTAAATAAACGATCTGTTGCCTAACTCTTGCCTTCTGTCGTTACAATGCTAAATGTAGGATATGGAATTATTGAAACTATGATAAATAAAATGGCTTCGTTTTCAAGGGGCACAGATAAAGGCCAAAAGAGAAGACAGTGAGAAGGAACTACAATGAACGAAAATGTACCAGGAAAGTAATGATAATAAGTTCACCATTAAGAGTGAATGCGTCTTTGCTAGTGAGAGAAAAAATATACTCCGAGTCATTTATTCTTAGTGCCTGTCTGGAGGATTCCAACGAGATAGGCAACATCTCCCTATGTAGCTGAAACCCAAAAGTCAAAAATTTCATGTATTATGGTTGTATGTTTCACTCTGACTCATCTTCAACTCTTTTCCATCCTAATTCCTCTCAGTGAAATCCCCACAAATATGTAAAGCAAATCAGCAGCATGTTTGACCAATTCACTTGTTTGAGAAGTTGCATCAACCCAACCCCAAAAGACTGGATGCACAGCTACAAAAAAAGGCTCGTGTGCAATCAGTCAACTTGCTTCCTTTCCGGAGTGGACATGACATCCAATATCCTTCGAAAGACACATGTGCTATGCACCGGTTGGCTGTGAAATTACATCGACTGAGATGGTTAGGACATGTGTTACGTATGTCTAGACATCTATAGCCTTCCTCGACAACAGGTAATGTTAGCTGACATAGGGTCAGACTGGAAAAGAGCTAGCGGAGGTCAAACCAAAACATGGCCTAACCAGTCAATGAAATCCACAACAGTTAGTTTAACCCAGCCAGTCACGTAGGGAGGTGTAGACTTCCTGACTGGTTGGGGTAATCGGGACGGTAAAAACCAATGAAGGCTGGAGACAAATGGTGATATGGCTCAACGTGATCGTTGTCAATGGCTGGTGCAGATGCATCTACTCCTTGTGACTTATAATTTCCAATGAAACTATATTGTTCTTCGTTAATACTATTCCTTTTGTCTCATATCCCTGTCTACTGTGTCTATTATGCATTTCTTCTATCTTCTTCTCTTGTTTTGTGTGCTACAAGTAGTGGAGTGTGACGCCTTGAACTGCTGCACATTGGTGCAAAGTTCTATGTCGAAAATAGACATACAGACAGACAGACACCGGTTGGCTCCATCATTCTCTACTACTGTAAACATACCAATTGAAAGTGAAAGATGTGTGGGGACACTAGCTTCCTATGACCACAGATGTCTGCGTTCTGTCTCCCTCGTTAAGTGTGGTACAATATGCTGAGTAAAACTAAAAAAAGCCGCAGAGTATTAGGTAAGGAGGGTGAGTCACTCAATCAGTTGAGATGGTTAGGATATATACAGCAAACTCAAAAAAAAGAATAAACCAAGGCTAGAAAAATGACAAAACAAAACCCATAGTTATATACTACATACCTGTAAAGAATCATTGCCTCCTCCACCACTATCAAGATCACTATTCACACGAATAGGTCTATTCATAAAACCATTTGGTAGATCGAAATCACTACCCGATATCGATGACTCGTCAACAACATTCACTAGACTGTTCAAGCTAGCTGAAGAGGCTTGAAATACTTCACTACTATTTGGCATTGATAAACTATGCGAGGTATTTGTAAAAGTTCCTGGTGAATGCAATTGACGAGAATGACGAGATGGATGAGGATGACGATCACGGTGATCACGATCACGATAGTTGTCGACTAAAGATACTGGAGAATCATTTTGTTTTGCATCAAGTACAGATGTTGCATCGAAGAATTCATCACCTTCTTCATCAAGGATTCTTTCAGATGAATGTAGGCTTTGTGGAGTTGCTAAAAGTAAAAAAATATGCACATGAGATGGAAGATAATAGACATACATATATGCACACAAAAACAATTGACGCAAAGGTGTGAAAATGAGATAAATTCATTTAACTGTACCATATTGTGATTTTGAAGTTTTTTCAGTGTTTTCTGGTCGAAGAAGCAGAAAAGACAGGACCCCAAGTGAACATAGACAAGACGGAGGTTATGAAAATAACCAACCAATAACAACAACAACAATATCAACATCCAGCGCCAATCACCATCAACGGGAGGGATTTGAAAGAGGTTACTTCATTCACTTATTTATCTAGGGAGTATTGTCTCAGCTACAGGCAGTCAGAACGGACGAGGATGTCAAACAGACAACCGGGAAGGCGAGCGACGCATACATTCATCAGTCTGAAACCAATCTGGAAATCTTCGTCAGTCATCATCAACAACAAAATTCGGATTTACCATACAAACAACGTCTAGTCAGTTCTTCTTTACGGATCAGAAACTTGGCGGGTGGGTCACAACGAATATTTCCAACAGCCTATTGTACACCAGACCTTTATCAACAACAACTGTCTTCGCTGGATCTATACTAAAGATCATATGGCTGGGGCGGGCCGGAAAGAATCACCAACAACAAACTATGGGAACAAACAAACAAAACAAGAACCAACCGATCGCCCAACAAATATGCATGAGAAAGTGGATGGAAATGGATTGGACACTTGCTGAGGAGGCCGCTGAGAGACGTCGCGCGCGTGTCAGGCCATTGGTCGAGTGGAACCAGGCCGAAAGGGAAGCGGCGAGTGAGACGTCACTGCAAGGATGACATGGAGGAGATCGTGTGAAACAGTATGTTGAGTTGAAAGAGTGCGGACTAACACGGATGCAGGTGAAAAGTACAGTAGAAGACAGAAGTGGGAAGTGGAGACGTGCATGTGTTGTTGAAGCCGTATGTTCCACTAGGAACCTAACGGAGCAATAATATATCATGAAAAATAATCTGATGTACGCTAGTGAATGAATATATAGGACGAAGTTGCCGGCAGTTCTATTCCGAAGAAGTGACCGGCAAGTGGGCTCAATCGTCAGATGGGGAGTGAGGAATAATACTCGCCAATAACACTGGCTGGCTGGTGATCACGTTAAAATTAGGAATTAGTAGAAGGTGGAATTCATGGGTCAATGGATTCCGTCCAACCCAAGTGCAGTGTATGGTCTACGAGTAAGACTTGTAAACAGGAGGTACTGTTTTCGAACCCTGCTGGGTGTATTAATCTAGGACGAAACAGGTGTCCAGTAATCTAACTGACAACAATCTGTGACAAATCTATTACTGATATTAATTAAAAGTAGACCTAGAGCGGTGGAGCTCACATAATCAGCGCTACTTAGATTCTTTACCAGAATACTGACACTTAGCACAAAAGAGACCTTTTCGTATTCTACTTCTAAAATGAAGAGGTAGACGATCGGCTATCAGAGAGAGAGAGAGGGGGGACAAAAAGGAGGCGTTCTCAGAATATGACTGACTGCTTAGTTTCAACATAGGACTATGCACAAATGTGCATCAGTTGGAGTTTCCACTCTTCCTGCATGTAGCACACAAAGCAAGAGAAGAAGAGAACAATAAATACAATTATGAGGCAAAAGAATAGTTATATGGAGGAACAGTACATTTTTTATTGGATATTATAAATCACAGAGAGTGAAGCCATCTGATAACGATTTTGAGCCATATCATCAATTGTCGCCAACCATTAGTTTTTATTATCCCAAGGACCCCAACAAGTCCGGAAGTCTACACCTCCCTACGTGGCTGGCTGCCTTCAACTAACAACTGTGGATTTCATTGACTGATGAGGCCATGTTTTCGTTTGACCACCACCAATGGCCCTTTTCCAACCTGATCCATCCTACATCAGCTGGCATTGCCTGTCGATCAAGGAAGGTGACGGCCAGGCCAAGCATGTGTAACACATGTGCTAACCATCTAAATCGATATAACTTCACAACCTCGTTGATTGATTCCCCCCCTCACCTACCTGGCACTCGACGCCTAAGCTCGATATTACTCATCCTATTATACCACAGGTAGTAGAAACGCAGACACTTATGATCAAAAACAGCTAGCCGCCCTTTTCGTGTCTCCCACTTTCAATAGTCATGTCTCACAGCCATCAAGGAGGACGGAGCTAACTACTGCTGAGCAGTACACATGACCTTCGGTCGCGACAGCCGGATATCACGTCTAGTAAACCAGAGATGGCGTAAGTTGACATATACTAAACAAGCCTTCTGTATCCATAGTGAGATTTCGTTAGTGATCGACCCGTCGGGTTTGGTGCAACTGTAGGGTTCGAACCCGGGAACTACAAGCCAAACTCGTAGATCATTCTCAACCATTGAGATTCGAATCAAGAAGCTAAGAGATCCAAATAATACAGGATTACGGATATAAGTGCGTAATCAGTAAGGAAGTTTTCCTATTATTAAATACCTGTGTGATCAAGATGGCTATAGAAGCAGAGATTGAAATAACATCTTGTTACTGAAGAGGATAACAGAGATACGGGGGTGGGGGAATTGCACATTGACTAGATTTACAATGGATGAAGAGCTTTTTGAATAAACCCCTTTTGAACACATAACCTCCAGCTTCTCAATGCATATATATAGCGAAGCCTTCTAGGGTACGACGAAGACGGAAACATACTGGCTTTATAAGATTTTTGTTTACTTTGTAAATAACTCTGAGTAAAAAGAGTCAGTTGAGATGTTGTGAAAAGTGAGGATCAGGTGTTCAGTAATAGGACGTCTAAGTGAATTAATGTCGCTTCTTTGCTGTCAGATTGGTGTTAGTGTTTTCCTAATACATTTCTGAAAGGAACTATACATATATCTAGCTCTACGATAGCAAGTGAACTGATTAATATACGCACACTGAAGTAGTTATATTAAGGAGTTTTTCCTTTAAGTTGCTTAACTATTAAAAGTCAATCTGAACGAAGAATATTCTTTTCAATAATTTCTCCTCCTCAGGTTCTTACAATTATGAAATATAATATTTGTTGTCATTACAATAATGATAGCCAGTTATGCGGCGGATACATTTTTAACGTAAAATAACAGATTAGTAGTTATGGGGTGTCAAAATAAACAGTTGTATTTGTGTGACAAACGTGCTAGGCAGAAATCGATTTACCAGGGTTGTTCAGTAGGGGGGGTGGGGAAATTAAGTGCATAAAAAACTCGATCCTGTCACACTTGGTCGCTGCTGGACATCATATCGATGTCAACGCAGCTTTCAGGGTTATATATAGAATTCCGAATTCGTTATCAAGTAAAGTTCGTTTATGTCTCCTACACATAACTGAAGATGTTGCAATAAGAACGACTAAACGGGAACTTTGTATCCGAAAAGAACACGTCGAGACGCTGTTCCTACCATGGCCAACCTTGGATTGATGCTTCTTCTTCTCACCAAGAGTGCTTCTTCCACTTTACACTCTTGTTTTTTTCTTTCTTTACTTATTATTGCAATTATTATTCGTCATAATGTATGCCCTTCATGCAAACATTCTCTCAATATTATCGAATTTTCATTTATACTATCCGGACTTATTATTAGTGATGATATGATCTCTTTTCTTAATATATGCCTCCACCTGTTTCATTTCACATATTCGTTATTTCATTATGAATCTCTCATTGCAGTCTTACTATTTCCTATTCAGCACATACCACTTTGTACTAGGCACCCACTCACCTGACACCTTTTGTAACCTTGATCTGACTTGTCAATTTTCCTACCCCACGCTCTACTAATCAATCTATTTTGACTAATCACCACCGTTGTTTCCCATTATACAATATTTTGTAGTCGATTTCAGCCCAGAGCACGTTTGTCACACAAATACAACTGTTTATTTTGACACCCTATAACTATTCTGTTACTCTACGTTGGGAAATGTATCCGCCAAATAGCTGGCTCTCATTATTGTAACGAAAACATATATTATTTTATATTTTATAATTGTAAGAACCTGAAGAAGAGAAATTGTTGAAAAGAATATTCTTCGTTCAGACTGACTTTTAATTCATAATTTGGGAATATTTCACAGTATTAAAGCTTAACTATCAATCCGTGATCAACTCGTAAAAACATAACTAACCCTTACAAACCAAACTATAGAAAATTAATCTGATGCTCGCTAATGACTTACTACAGGTTGGAGTTTCCTGAGTTCTAGTGAGAAGTCGTGACGAGTGAGGTCCAATCAGATGTCACCTGTGTGGATGGATGTCACACCAACGACAATGGTTGGGGTCGCGCTAAATCACGAATTGGTAGAAGTTAGAATTCATGCACTGGCCATTAAATCGGGTCCCAGTGGCTGAATGGTATACAAGCTTGGTGGCCATGTAAGCGGAAGGTCCTGGGTTCTAACCCAGGCGGTGGGTGCGTAATTCCGATGATTCCCAAACTAGGATGAAACAGTAGCTGTCCAGTACTCCCTGTGGCTGGTTTTCATTGGTTCTCTAACACTCATATCAATCCGTGATCAACTCTTAAAAACATAACTAACCCGTACAAACCAAACTATAGAAAAGAAAACTTAACTATTAGTTAATTATTGCGGATGAAATTGCTAAGATGGCATTATTTTTGTGAATCACTAGATCTATAATAATAATAATAATAACTGCAAGAACATTCACTTATCGATAAAACTAACAGACACACTAACGCACATTTCATAGTGTGTGTGTGTGTGTGGCATTAAAGTACATAAATCGAAAGATAAATTAAACTTTTGCTGTCTTTAAGATAAATAAAAAGGTCATCAGAAGAGAAATCAATGAGAGGAGTGTTATTCACCCTAATCATATCTAATCTAATTAACTAATTAATTTTGAGAATAAAAAAAATATTTCTGTGCAAACTTTACTTACTCTGCATATGAGAATGAAAGGAATTTACGAAAATAAATCAAGAAAAAAAGTGA